TTGAGTGTAAGTGAAACATTATAGTCAAAACTATGAATCTGTGATCCATGTTGTGATAGACCTTGCAACCGCCAATTTTGCTGGTGGATTCGCTGGTAGATTTTATCCTCTCTTGCTAGCTAATTAAAATTAACTATATGATTTGGTTTAAAAAACGTAATTCTAATAGCATCCAGGATCCGTAACACAACATACTGAATGCCCCTCAAACTAACAACCCTTGCTAGTTACTGATAGTAACATTAGCTTAATACTACTGTAGCTAGTAAGCTAGTTAACCGGACATGCTAACGACTACAGCCCAGGGGGTGGTCACACAGTCGTGAATGTGGGCGAATGACCACTGTCTTCTGGGGCAATATTTGCTTGAAAGCTAACCAAAAGTTAAGGTAGCTAATTTGTTTCGCTACTGGAATTGAAAGTTTGTGTTGCCACATTTGCTAGCAAAGAATTGAAATTAGCACAAAGCTAATGTTGGCTAATGTGTGACCGTGCCCTAACATATTCAAGACACACATAAAACACTGAGTATCTCTCTTACAACAGCACCGTAGTAAGTCTAGTAGATTGCTAGACTAGATTTGACAATTGCCATGTGGGAGGGATCTAGAAACCATTCATTTAGAAGAATGTTCATGTTTACTTAGTTAATAGCAGCAATGAATATAGCAAGATTCATTTGTGATCATGATTCATTTTAAAAGGGTTTATGTTGGTTTTATTTAGTCATCATGACTCAAATTATACACTTGTATTGAGACTTTTGTTTTCCATTAACTCTCGTCTAGGTAAATCATTTTTCACCCCAGCACCTTTGCCACATGATATGCTAATCCCAGTATGATGAAAGCAGCAAGTGCAAACTGGTGAGAGAGATTTGGCGACGTATAATTAGAAACATGGAAAGAGAGAGAGAAAATGTGACAAATCCAGATGAAAGCGGGTAGACCTGTAGCTCATTTTCTGTCTTAATTGGTTCTTTTATGGTTCTCAACGTAAAATGCATTTGACCATGTTAAATGTGTGCCTTTGTGTGCGTGTGTGACGTGTGGATTCTGTTTTGATCAAAAAGCTGGTTTAGTCGGTGGACGTGTACCAGAGAGCAGCTCTGCCTTTGTAATTATACCAACAATTAGAAGCAGCGCCATGACAGTTCATTTTAGTCTAATTTATCCATGTTTTGCTTTTATCCTCTAATTAAATGGACTCCTTCTATCCTTCGTTCTTCTTTTTTATTCTATTCCTTTTTCTTCCCCAAATAATACTGCTCCTGACTTGTCTAGTGGAATTTCTTTGCTTAACTTAGATCAGATGCGAAAGGATTGACACCATGCTCCCTTTACATACTATTTAGCATAGTTTAGCACATGCTAGGCAGCTAGCAGACAGAAGGCGATGAAGTCTGGATTTTCTTTTTTTTAATCTTCAGAGTGACATCTTAAGAAGGCTTTGCTTTCAGTCTCTCTTTTCCTCCTCTCATCTACTCTCCATAGGGCTGTCACCGGGAGTTCAGCACCAAATTGTTTCTGGTGTCATTGTTTTCTCATGAAGAGGGTTATCACTTGCCTTTAAGAAAGACATCTTGATGTAATAGGGTCAGCACTGTTTCATCATTAGGATTTCAAGGCCTCTCTTAAGAAGTCCATTTTAATTAAGATATTTTTCTCTCATGTGTCCCAAACTTAGTTTCAGTTGTTTAAGTCAAATAAGGATAGTATTTACAAAAGAGGACACAAACAAAACAACCTCAAGGCTGAAGTCTTTGAGGTGAAAACATTTCTGTAAAGTTCTATAAAAGCTAGACATCTTCTCAATGCTTCCAGTATTTTTTGATGCCGTTTGTTTTATTCCTGCCTTTTCATCACTTTTTGCCTGATCTCTTGACACATATTCCTGTGCCCAACGATGGTAAGAGTTACCCAGCAGTGAAGAATCTGGTATTGATCTAGATTTTTATAGAGAGTGAATGGGAGCGAGCGAGATTTTTGCAAATCAGCGTGAGAACTCTGGGAGCACTAGGGGTCTTGAAGGATGAAGAGTGGGCCGATCACTTTCACAAATGTCAGCAGTGGATAACCGTTGTGACTCAGTATGTAGCAAACTGTGTGGGGAACCCAACTTGTGGCTTTGATATGATGCACTTTGAAATTGTTGCGGCTTACACAACCAACAAAGACTGGTTCAGCTTGGTAGAGAATGCAGTGTAACTGTTATCTAGAGTACTAGTGTGTGGGCTTTAGGGGGATGTGTTGTCAGAAATATGATATAATAGTCAATTTGATGTTTTCATTGGCTTGTAATTACGTAAACCTGTAATGCTCAAAATGACATCCTGACATTTAGTTGTAATACATTTATTTTTGAGTAACGATCGGGTTCAAAACAAATTGCGCTTAGACATGCATTGCTTTCCCATGGCTAATTTAATATAAGGATGTGAAGCATGGGCAGTAGGATGTTTGTTTAACATTAGCATTACAAATATCTTAAAGCTCCCATGTCATGCTTTTCCGGTTATTACCCGTCCCCTTGTGTGTTATGAAGGTTTTTATGCATGTAAACGGTGTGCAGAGTCAAAACCCTCAAAGTACACCCTGTAGGGAGTAAAACTCTAACACAGAAAATACCTCCCCAAAACGCCTCGTTGGAGATACGTCATTGTCCATTTGATTCTTCCGGGTACGGGGTGACGTAACCCCGTACCCGGAACGAAATGGACCAATCCGTGGAGCCGTTACGTTACGTCCGCGGAGCCGTTACATTAAGCCCCCGCTGATTGGTCCAAATTGACCAATCCACGGACTTCCTCACACACACTCAGTGCAGGCAGCTCTGCTGATTTCTCCTCCCTGGCTGCAGGCTGATAACAAAAAATCGCATTTGGGATTGCAGCGAAATTCTCACTGCAGACCCATTCTCACAGCGTTTATCAACCTTTTTCTTACTCAATATCAAGCCACACTTATTGTTTTTACTTCGGCTGTGAGTTTGTGTGTGCTCAGGATGAGTTTGGCTGTGTTTCGCTATGTATCACTAACAAGGAAACCACACCTCCACGGAGCTCAGCGCGATTCACAACGTCCCGACCAATCAGAGCACACTGTGCTCACAGGGAGGGTGGGGGCTGGAGCTATTGGAGCTCCAACGAGCCGTTAAAGGCAGAGAGTGAAATTCAGTGAATACACGTAGTTTACAGAGATGCTGTATGAGAAACCAATGTGAGTTTGGAAAATTGCACAATATAAATCTATTCTAGTAGACCTCAACAATGGAATTATGATCAGTAGAAATGGCCATGACATGTCTCCTTTAATACAGCTCTGTTACTCTGTTAAAGAGGTCCTCTTGTGCTTTTTGGGATTTTCCCTTTCCTGTAGTGTGGTATAGGTTTTCTTGCGTGTAAATGGTCTGCAAAGGCAAAAATCCCAAAGTTCCTTCCAGAGGGAGTTTCTCTCCCACACACTCCGTCTGAAACACCTCCATTGTAGTCCTTTGTTTACTTAAGTGACAGTGACATGACACCACTATGTAACACTCACGCTTCTATTGGCTGGCGCTCAAACACACTACAGGCTAAGGGGCAGGACAAGCGGTTCATCAATCACAACAGATCCGGCCAGCTAACCAATCAGAGCAGACTGGGCCCTGGTTTCAGACAGAGGGTTAAAAGAGGTGCTGCAGCACAGGAAGTATGAGACAAATAAAGAGCTTTTTGAATTAAAGCAGGTAAACAAGTCACAATCGCGGAACAACATATAATTATTAAACCTGAAAATAAGCAGAATACTGTAAAGGATGGTATACATGAGATTAGCTTTCAAACATTAACAAAGGTCGCTGTAAATCCCTCATATGCTTTCTGAACCCCAGTGGGAATGGTGGAATACACCACTCAAAATGGAAAAAATACAATACAAATGGTGGTTACCGGATGTAACTCAATGGCTGTTGGTGACAAAGGGCTTTAATAGCCTCAAAACACAAAAGTTTACTAATTTAAAAATGTATAATAAATGTAGTAACTATGGCACAGAGTTTAGAAACAACCCTGGGTTGGGATCTATGTCACATATCACTGAGGATTTAGTTTAAAGGAAAAATAAGTGAATTTCAGATTGGCGGAAAACACTTTTCCTCGCCTGTGCTAAGAAAAAGCCAACTTTCAGCATTTCATGCCTATCCTCAGGCAACAGTCTTCAACTCCTCTGCACTAAGTTAAAATAGCTTGCTGTGCATTCTGTTGGGTAGACATGCTGATATTGTGCCTCAGGCCTCTCTTTCCTAGATAATTAGTAAACAAGGCCCTTTTCCTATTTTCGTTATGTATACAACCATACCACCAATCCAGTCCAACAAACACATACCTATATTTAGAAATAAATTATGATGAATTGTGCACTCGTGAATGGACCTACTCAGCCGCCAACACCAACCTAGAAAAGAGGACATGTTTGTCACTGTGGTTAGTTTAGTTAATGTTCAAATACCACCTGTACATAATGCTACCTGTCTGTCATTACATGAAGCAGCCAGCAAAGGATCCTGAAGTCCAGATGACAGAGTATCTACTTATTCAGGCTGGACATGGGTGCTTCCTGCTCTGAAGAGTTGTCAATGCTGTGCCAAGTCCTACAAAGTAACGCCAAAAACTCATGTCACAGACTTTTTCAAAGTAGACTTTTAACTTGGATGATCTGAGCAGAGGAGCTGTAATCCTAAGAGACCTCTTTATAGATGATTCATGAAATATTTTTAAACATTCACCTACAAACTCAAAAGAGCTAGTGATGTGTGGCATCAAAACTGAAAGAGGCGGGTGTCTCTTTTTCTCACAGTTCTGTGATTGATTAGCCAGCCTTTCAGACTTCTTAGAGGCAATTACATTTCTACTGAACTTTCTTTCACTTCTTTTTCTTTCAGTCTCTTCTTTCCTTCCATTTATCAACATCCAGTCTCTGATCACTTTCTCTGCCCCTCTCTACCCTTTCTGTCTGTTGCAGGCTGCTTCTCATCCAAGGCAGAGGACCGGCTCTTCAGGAAACTCTTCAGAAGATATAACCAGTTCATCCGACCAGTGGAGAATGTGTCTGACCCCGTTACTGTGGAGTTTGAGGTCTCCATCTCGCAGCTGGTCAAAGTTGTAAGCTTTACATCCAAACACATATTTTGTAATCATAACTTGTACGCAAAGCTTGTAAAGACTCAACAATATGTCAAGGTGTTTAAACCTTGTGCCTTCATTTTTATATCTCTTTGGCTTTGCTAATGCATATGATATTGATTTTGGCGAGGGAAAATTCAACCTCAGCTCCTTAAGTAAGTCTATAACTTAATGTGCTCGTGTTTGGCACACACAAACACGAGCACATTTCCCCCATGTTAGCTTCACTCCACTGGCTGCCCATTCATTCGAGGATTCATTTTAAAACTCTTTTATTTACTTTTAAAGCCCTCAATGGCCTGGCCCCTCCCTACCTCTCTGAGCTGTTACACAGCTACACGCCCACTCGCACTCTCAGGTCAGCTGATCAGTTGCTCCTGAGTGCCAAAAACAAAGTCAAAGCTCAGAGGGGACGGTGCTTTCTCTGCTGCCGCCCTAAACTGTGGAACGACCTGCCCTTGCTAATCAGACAGGCTCCCACACTGTCTGTTTTTAAATCCCGTCTAATCCTACTATTAAAACCACCGTTTTGGAACCCATTGCTAATGTTGCGTAACATTATGCATTCCAATATATTAGGCTTTCAAACTAGAGTCCAGGCTTGAAAATGGTAATTTTAAAGAGGCCCTTATGTGCTCTTTGGGGTTTTTCGTTTCCTGTATTCTGTTATCAATGGTCTCCAAATGCTAAAATCCCAAAGTTCTCTTTAGAGGGAGTTTCTCTACCATACACAGCCAGTAACGCCTCCATTAGACTTCTACTTTCCTAACAAAGTGACATCACTACTGTATGTTACACTCACGCTTCTATGTGCTAGCACTTCAACACATTTTACCTGATAGGCTAAGAGGCGGGACATCTCTATGCGGTGGACCACAACAGAGCCAGCCAGCTAACCAATCAGAGCAGTCTGGTTTCAGACAGAGGGTGAAAAGAGGTGCTGCAGCACAGGCAGTATGAGAACAATAAAGAGCTTTTTGAACAGTATAGCATATAAACATGTCACAGAAGAAGCACAACATACAGATATGAATCTGAAAATGAGCATACGTATATGTGATCTTTAACTTTTATTCATAAAACAATTCAAGGGCATACTGTCATCAAACCGCAATTAAAATTGTAACATTTCTGAAATTCAGAGGAGAATACCATTAATATATAGTGTTTGTAGTGTAATAGTTTGTAAACAGTTTTTTTCTCCATGAAAAACAACTGTGGCATTAATGATTATGTTATTGGCAAAATATCCCTAACTGGCATTCAAAAGGTCACACTTGAGTGTTAAAACACTTGGAAGTATGATCAGGACTTTTGTTGATTTTACATTTAAATTCATTTGCAGTTTTAAGAAACATGAACCATGTAACTCCTTTTGGACATCAGAGCAACCTATACAACGGTTGTTCAAGCTTGCAAGAGCAAAAGTGAATGTAACAAACGTGTTGTTGCATTAATAGCATCCTCTCAACAGTACATGAGAGTCTGTGTGAACTGAAAGACGTCTTCCAACAAGCGCCCTGATCATATTTACTACCTTTGATACAGAAAAGGCAAAAGATAAGCCGTGGAACGAGAGAAGTGAAAGCAGAAAGTGAATACAATCTTTATTTAGTCTGCTCAATTTCACGGATTCTGAAAATGTCACACGGTGTTGTTATACGCTGTTGTTTTGCCTTTGCAATGTTACGTTTAATGCGGGTGGGGGGAAGTGGGTTTCGCTGTAGATCCCCACGGTGAAAGAGGTTTTCAGCTCAAAATGGAAATCCTCAGATTAAGAGGAAATTGCCTGCAGGAGCCTTTTTCAGGCTGGGGCTGATATGTAGCTATATCGGCTTGCTGGGCTAGGTGAGATTAATCTAAAGGTGAGTGTGTATGGATGTGTCATAGTGTGTGTGTCTCTGCACATATGTTCACAAATCTGCTTGTGCACAGTGTATCTGCTGACGCAGGCCTGTATGTGATTTATGTGGAGTTCTGAGAATCAACTGACTGCAAATCAAACTGAACCAGGGTCACGGAGAGAGGTGGAGAGGAAGTGACATCTGTAACCCCTCCATCTTTTATTACTCAACCGTTTCAGTCCACCAACTCCCGCTCTAGAGGACAACGATTAGAGGATCAATCTCATTTATTTTTGAAAATGTTGTGAATTGTTGTTTTTTTCGGGTTACATTTTTGTTTACCTTTTTTTAAATTCCATATGGTGCTCACTCTTTATTCCCATCTGCAGTACAAACAACACACTCCCCCTCTTTCACACACACTCTCTTCCTTCTTCTTCTTGTCTTTCCAGGATGAGGTGAACCAGATCATGGAAACAAATCTATGGCTCAGACATGTAAGTACAACACACACACACACACACACACACACACACACACACACACACACACACACACCACACACACACACACACACACACACACACACACACACACACACACACACACACACACACACACACACACACACACACACATACATACCTACACATACAGAGATAGCGATAAGTGAAGAGTGAGAAAGGTGTTAACACTCAACTATACATTCTGAACAGACATCAATATGGGATGCCCCACTCTCTCCCTGTGTTTGTGTGTGTGTGTGTGTGTGTGTGTGTGTGTGTGTGTGTGTGTGTGTGTGTGTGAGAACGTCATATATCGCTGAAGTAAAAAATAAAGCAGGTGAGGTAAAACAAGAAACCAAGGCTAACCAAGGAAGACATTTGAATGCAATGGGCTATTGATCAATGCTAGCATCATGGTTAGTCACGCTCTGTCTCTTATCGGATCAATAACCACGGACCCTGACCTCCTGACCCCCCCAAACCCTGCCTCCCCAACCATAAATCCAAATAGCACATGTTGCCTCTGTCCCCCAAACCACCAATTTAGCTCGACTAAATATGTATCTCTCTTTGACAAATATTTATAATTAAAGCCGCTTTTCATATTAAATATTGACCTTTTTTAACATTGACTCGTTGCCGCCAAACAGCTGCTGGATGCTGATGAGATTTAACGGTTGATAACATGATACTGTGATCTCTGCGCACTCCAATTAAAACGCATTGAAAGGCCTGTATGGGCTGATCTTATTTGTTGTTTGTAATGGCTGAGCTGTTTATTTATAACAAGGCATCACTAATGAATAAGCTGTGTCAACACCACCGTCACTGATACATACTTTGAATCGCAGCCAGGGGGGGTTTACAGTGCTAGCCATTTCAAAAAGTCCCCCCTTGATGAATTTATCGCGTCTGTACCACAGTAACACTGCAGGGGATTCCTTCTGTAGCAGCATGCAGTGTTTCTAAATGTGTTCACTGTATACTCAAAACAAGCTTTACTGACTACTTTTATGACATCGATCAGACAACTACATTTAAACAATGCAAAAATAATGCAGAGTATAGGAATACTTTACCTGCCTCTTCGCTATAAGAATGTATTATTTCAATTTCTTTCCATTTTTGCTCATATTCCTCCTTTATTCCATGTCTGGAGAGCAGAGGCCTGTACTACGAAGCTGGTTCAACCTAACCTGGATATGTTTGAGTTAGCCGGTTGGCCCAATCCAAAACATACGCGCTCTCGCTAAACTGTACTACGACGCTGGTTATCAAGTGGATCGCTCAAGCCAGCCGTGTCCTATCTAGTTAGGTGCGCGTTCACATGAAAGGGGTGGTATTTGGAGCATTCGACCAATCTCAAACATGGACAAGCGTACTGACAGCGCAGCGTCATACTTCCTGAATGAAAAGTGAACTTTAATATTAGTCAAATATGAAGAAGTTAAACTTTAAACATCCATGACTTAAACACTTTATCCAGGATAAAAGCCACATAGCTGCACCTGCAAGGTGAATACAGCTGTTAAAAGAAAAAGTGTTTGAATGCGTACATTAACAGGTTTATGAAATCACTGCCCCGTCCAAGACACGAGTGGATCTGACTTTAATTAGGAGAATTTGACTCGAGTGTTTCGTCAACTTAATGTGTTGCTTAAAATAATACTTCTGCATACAGTATGTGACACTGTGAGTGTTGCACGGCCAGATACGGCTCAAGAAGCTGACTCAAATAAGGAAATATATGATACATTATGATGTGATATGATATGAATGATAATGGGACACATCGACGTCTGCACTCACAGTGCCGCGGACTGTACTTAATGTTACTCTGATCCGGTTACTTATGTCGTGGCAGATATTTAAGTAAGCTTTCCTAACGCTAATATTATAATAGTCAGATTGCTCTGAAGATGGGAGGGGATATTCTATTAATTTTCACGTTCACACAGTCAGTTGATTTTGGCCGGCCGTCTTTCCTGCAACGGCAGTTTTTCTGTATTTCCTCTATCCTGTAATATGAATTGATCGCTTTAAACTCCGCACACGGAGCTCTGATTGGTCAGCAGGCAGTGCTTTCACTGAGTTGATCTCTTAGCCTGCCACCTAACCTGCTCCGGAGCAGGTTAGCCGCTCAGCATAAGTTACCATGGAAATCTAGCCTGCTAAAAAGAGAACCAGCGTCGTAGGACCGGAAAGCCCGAGATTTCCCTGAAGTTAGCCGGCTAAGCGAAAATCCAGCTTCGTAGTACAGGCCTCTGGTTTGACTATCATGTTTGTTATGGCCTTATCTCCTAATAGCCTTTGTAGAGTCCCTAACTTATTCTGTATCAGTGGTCTTTTTTATGTTTTTTGAAAACTCCTTAGTCACTTTCTCAATTATTGACAATTATAGTCATGTGTTGGGAAAATACTGAATGTTCCTTCTATATCAGAGTAGCACATGATAACAGAGGCCCTACGTAGCTGTGTACGTAGCCGGATGTATGACAACATGGATGACGCTCATGAGACACTGTGTTGAAGTTATGATAACTATGTTCCTAAGATTGCACGATGACACAGCCCCTAGAGAGATAGGCATATGACTGTCATGTTTATTGCTTACGCAGGCCTTAGCTAATCTTAACTAATGTCAAAATACTGCTTTGAACCAGTATTCTTCCATCTTGTTGACTGTAACAATCTCTTGTATAAACATGTCAAGGACTCTATTCGGGGAACTATTTATGTACTAAGATACATAGGGAATATGTGGGGTTTTTGTGACTCGCTGTATGCATTTATCATTGCCATGATCAAATAACCATATAAAAAAAGATCGACCAATAAGGAATCCCATCTCTAGCCAATCATATAGCTCACGATAAAAATCCAGTGTAGCATGAAGTGGTTAATTAAACAGCTCCCAGGTCATAACTGGATATTAATCTGCCTTTGCTAATGAATGAATTCATCTTGAATGGCATGCAAATAGCCAAGACTAATGGATCCGCGGCTCATGAAATTTTACCCGCAGGTATGTTGACAGCATAGCAAGTGTTCTTCTGTCAGTGAGCATTAACTCCTCTCCTCTCTGAGCTGCTTTGTTCAGCTGTATTGTAGATGTGTTGTTATTTGCTTACTGAAGCTTTGTGATTCTTTTCATAGTGAGGCATTGCATTAAAGAAATACATGTTTGCTTGTTACGACTTTGAACAAGCAATGAAAGCCCTCAGGTACTCCTTGAAACTCTGTCGATGGGCGATTCCTTGCGACATTATCCCTATTTGGCACTACTGTAAAACATCAAAGGAAGTTCTGCTTGAGGTATAAATATGTATTCCAAAATATTCCCACAAAGGGGAATGTCTCCAGTGAATAATACCGTCTGCAGTGTACAATGAAAAATGCAAAACAGATGGTTGGCTCGGCAGTGTGCTCTACAGTAAATGAGGTTTCTCTTCTTCTCTCTCTCAGATTTGGAATGACTACAAGCTGCGGTGGATGCCCAGGGAGTTTGACGGGATTGAGTTCATTAGAGTTCCATCCAACAAGATCTGGAGACCCGACATCGTGCTCTACAACAAGTGAGATTGTCAAACCATTATCATCATCATTATCATTAGTTTGTTCACTCTTATTGCAATCACTATTAGAGATTGAATACCTGAAAATCAATAGGTTGGTTTTCAAAAAGAGTCTTCTTATTACCAAAGCCAATAATTGCTGTTGCCTAGTTAGGAGCACAATTAGAATCAGCAGGATGTTATTGTACTGCAAATCAGGCATCTCCACTTTGAAAATCCCAGGAAAACTAGTACGTTGGCATAGACATCAGTGTTAAAATGCTAATTCACCCGTGTGATTGGTTATGGAAAATGTAATGGCCCCTGCCACCATTTCAGGGCAGGGGCCATTACATTGTATGGAGTTGACAGTGTCAACAAATACATGACAGATCAGAATATGCTCAAGTGAAACATTTTGTAACGTTCAAACGAGCCCTGACAGAAAACAACCCCAAATGTGTCTTTCTGGCAGGAAAACTTGAGTTGCTAACGTCACCGAAATATTACATAAGTGCCCAATTCTTTGGAGCCCAAATGTCCAGAGATGGAAGAAGTAGTCAACTTATTTTACTTAAGTAAAACCAAAATACCAAATTGAAGAAATACTGTTACAAGCAAAAGTCCTGCATTCAATACTTTATGTAAAAGTACTCATTATGTGTAATATTCCATTTCAGAATCATACATGTAACTACTAGATCATGTTGTTGGTGTATTTATGTCTTCATCGCGGCTGGTAAAGGAGGAGCTCATTGTCATTACTGTGTACTGTATACTTCTACTGGATATCTTAACCTATAATTATATATTATGTAATAGATTTGATTGATAATGTGTTTTTTGTATTTTCTAAAATCTAAATCGGTATAGTTACTCAAGCTGTCAGGTAAAGTAAAAAGAAGTAAAAAAGTACAATACTGACTCTAAAATGTAGTGGAGTGGAATCATAAAGTAGGGTAAAATGAAAACATTGAGGTAAAGTAAAAAGGAATCAAAATTGTACAGTACTTGAGTAAATGTTATATATTTCATTCAACTACTTCTAATGTCTTTTATACCTCTAGCTGCTGTACGGTGCAACTGACTGCTCTGTAATTACAACACGATTGTCTGTTGTTCAGGGTCAGTTTATGCTGTGCTCCAGTCTTTCAGGCTAATTTATTCTATCCTCAATATCAACTCATAATGTTAATCAAAGGCAATTTTGTATTTCTCAATGATGCATAATGTGGCTTCATTGTCCTCTGTCTTTTAATCCTAATCTCTTCTTTCTTGCCTCCATTAACTCCTCTTTATATTTTCTCCCCCGCTCTTTTGTTCCCCGCCTTCATTTTCTCCTCGCCTTTGTCTGGCGTCTCTGCCTCCTTCTTTGTATCCTATGCAAAACCCACATACGCTTGTATCATATCGCCTCATATCTCTCCTTCCATTGGACTCCTTCCGCTTGATTACACACACACACACACACACACACACACACACACACACACACACACACACACACACACACACACACACACACACACACACACACACACACACACACACACACACACACACACACACACACGTCATGCAGCGCTGTAGGTGATTTCCTGGTTGAGGATAAGACCAAGGCTCTGCTGAAGTTTGATGGTACCATCACCTGGGTCCCTCCAGCCATTTTTAAGTCTTCCTGTCCCATGGACATCACCTACTTCCCCTTCGACTATCAGAACTGCTCCATGAAGTTCGGCTCCTGGACTTATGACAAAGCCAAGATTGACCTGGTACTAATCGGGTCTAAGGTCAGTGTTTGTGATTGTGTTCCAAGTCTGGCGTTACGATCAACAATTTATATATTTCATTTTTTGCTTCATTCTGTCCTACCTCAAAGAAAAGCACTCTTACATTATTCTGTTAGATACTGCATGCATCAACCGTAGGGATCATATATTAGGTTTCATTAAAGGTGCACTAACAATTTGGACGGAAAAGGTAAATTAATTTGTTATATTGAGAGCACTACCTTTGAAAGCCTGTGAAAACAGTTAGATGTTTTCAGTCAACATGTTCTCATACCCAATTCAAACAACAACTTTGTCAGACCTTTTGTCATCATTTCTTTATGTACTTGGTAACCGTTTGGCATCAAACATATTACTTGGTTAGCTTAAGGTTAAAATAAATAACCTTCAGTTGTTACTAGTAGTTCTTGCTAAGTTAGTTTAATCATAATTACTGTGAGGCAGCTCTGTATGTCAAGAACTGATGCTAGAGGAAAACATCTAGCATACTAGTTTAACAGGTAGGACCACTACACAAATCCCATGTTTAAAGTGTTGGGAGTAGTGATATGAAGACTAAAACGTGTCTTACAGAATCAGTTCCTTTAAAGTGGACCTATCATGCTATATTTGAACAATATATTGTAGGGCCATACCTATATAAAGTATATAAATATATATTTTTTTTCAAAATACCAAACAAATCCTGCATTTTAGCCATGCCTCATTTCGCTCTATTTGCTCTTTCCAGCACTGGGGCTGATTCTGTGAGCTGCAGCTGACCACGCCCCCCTGCAGGAGAGGGGAGCGTGCTTTGAGATCAGCTGCTGGGCTCTCAGAAGAGGGGGAGAAAAAGAGATCTCCGTCCTCCGTGTTTTATTCTTATATGATTATATAGAGTCGTTATTCATTTGTTTTAAAGCTCAATAAATAACAAAGAAGACCTTTGACCGGCACTTTTCTAATTTTGTCCGGAAGATTGAAACTTTAACGGACATCTTGACCGGCAAAAAATAATCTAACTGAAACTCTGCCACACGGTCCCCTCGTTCCTTGGAAGAGGCGGAGAGGTGGGTGTTTGTCATCTGCTGGTGGACTAACCGGAGAGAATTACAGTGCTTGCCTCGACGGGGAGGGATTGCATTGAATTAAAGCAGCGGGAGCAAACGCTTGCCTCGGGGAGGGAGAAAAAAAGCCACAGCGGAGAATAAACAGAAGGGCAACCATGGCAACCATGCGCGGGAAGTCTTCTTCGCTGCTTTTGTGGCAGACTACAGCGCCACTTACAGACCTGGCATATGTACTACAGCGTCTCCAGCTCTTTCGAGCGGCAATGGCCGGCCGTGGCCCAACCCCACATTCCCCTGATAGGTGGAGAGTTGGCCATATAGGCAGAGCTCCTCGTTCCTGACGTCAGAGAAATTTCAAATCTGTATCAGTCTGTATCAGATCCGTTGCAGCCCTGTTTTTAGAGATTTGGGTATGAAGGAAAAGAGAGAGGGTTATGTTTTCTGACACTTGGTGAGTTCCCTGACACACCGGGGACACATATTCATGTTTAAAAGACGTACAAAAGTGCATTTTGCATGATAGGTCCCCTTTAAGTTTAAACACGTAAGTGCATTGCAAGGTTTTCTATCATGTTTCATGATTAATCTAATCCTGTCCTTTACTTTTCGTTATCATGTAAATACTGGACATATATAAAAATACGCTCTGAGATTCTTAAAACAAAAAAGGCAACTTTTTGGTGTTACAGTTTTTACCACTTAAAGATGCAGTGTAAGCAAAACCCACGGTAAAATTGAGTGGGAAAAACGTAAAAAGTTGATACAAGTTGGGAGTGAGAATAGGTCGAGAATAAGATAAATAAAATTACACTGTAGTTTAAAGAGGCCCTATTATCTGTTTCCTCTACTGTGTTATATAGGTTTTTATTCATGTAAATGATCTGCAAAGGCTAAAATCACAAAGTTCCCTCCAGAGGGAGTTTTTCTCCTACAAGCCTGAAACACCTCCATTGGACTCCTTTGTTTGCTTCAGTAACATAATGACATCACTATGTAACACTAACGCTTCTATTGGATAGCACCCCAAAACGTTTTATGTGATTTGCTAGGGGGCGTGACATTTCCGACACATCTTTAAGCGGTTGACCAGTCAAAACAGAGCCGGCCAGCTAACGAATCAGAGCAGGCTGGGCTCTGGTTTCAGACAGAGGGTGAAAAGAGGTGCTGCAGCACAGGAAGTATGAGAAAGATAAAGACCTTTTTGAACATTTAATCATGTGATCATGTAACAGTAAAGGCTCAAAACACAAATATGAACCTAAACATTGCATAATATGTCCTCTTGAACAATCTTTTGCCTACTTGGAGGGCTTCTTGTGGATAATAAGTGGCTTCATTTGCATTGATGTCTTATTTCCCTCTTCACTTTCTATTACTGTAACATTCCTGTAAGACCTGTAAACATCGCAAGACGGCCTTATTATCTGTAAACTACAGTGATCGCGCCCTCTTGCAGCGACTTACAGTCTGTGGGGTGCATGTGGACATGAAACCCAGGTGAAAGTCAGTTTGTTTTGCATATTCTCACAAATCCATATTCATAAGGATTAACCATACCATATTTATTGTATTGTTGATGGTGGCCTTTTCAAAATGGTAAGTTGACTCTGAATGTTGTTCGGATCATTTCAGGAATTGATTTTAAGATCTCTATCCATCACTTAGGTGAACCTGAAAGACTTCTGGGAGAGTGGCGAGTGGGAAATCATTGACGCTCCTGGCTACAAGCATGATATCAAGTACAACTGCTGTGAGGAGATCTACCCAGACATCACCTACTCCTTCTACATCAGGCGCTTGCCACTCTTCTACACCATCAACCTCATCATCCCCTGCCTCCTCATCTCTTTCCTCACAGTGCTGGTTTTCTATCTCCCGTCCGACTGTGGTGAGAAGGTCACGCTCTGTATCTCCGTCCTGCTCTCCCTCACTGTGTTCCTGCTCGTTATCACCGAGACCATCCCCTCCACGTCGCTGGTCATCCCGCTCATTGGAGAGTACCTGCTCTTTACTATGATTTTTGTCACGCTCAGCATCGTCATCACCGTGTTCGTGCTGAACGTTCACTACCGCACGCCAATGACCCACACTATGCCGGATTGGGTGCGCTCGGTGTTTCTCAGAGTGCTACCGAGGATCATGCTGATGCGGAGACCGATTGACGAGGACAGCAAGACTGGGGGGTTGGACAGCAGTGGGGAGGCAGGAGGAGCTGGAGGGGGAGGAGGAGGCGGAGGAGGGAAAGGAGGGAAGAAGAGGAAGAATAGCTTGCTGCAGGTAAGGCGTCCCCTTCACTTGAACTCTATGCACACCATGTTCATACTTTATTGGTTTCTGTCGTCCAAATAAATTGTACCTCAGAATCCAATGCGAGAGACCAATGTGTTTTATTATTATTTTATTTTATTTTAACATTTGTGAGACAAATTTGATTTAGTTCCATTGGTGCCAAAGATCACGCTAATTCCTAACGGGGCAAACAAAGAAAAGACAATATCATGAAGCTAATGCTTAGCTACCTACAGCACAATCATTACTGTCCGATCCTCATACTTTCTTTGTTTTGCCATCAGTACCTTCCATTCCCGATTCCAAGCTGTTCTGCCAACACCTGACACAATCTTTATTTCTTCTGCATCTCTTTATACTTGACTGTTTGCCGTGAAGTGCTTTATGCGGGGCGACAAAGAGAATCACCTTGTCAGATCTTATTTTCGATGACAACAATAGTTTATTTAACATTCTAGTAATGTAGTCTAGACAGAGGCAATAGCTCTAGGAAACCGTTTTCTAATTACATTTTGTATTAGCATTATCTTATAAAAAACAAAGGTTGAAAGAGTATTCAATCAGCTTTGTTACACCAAGTAGTCCTGACATTGCTCAATGCACGGGTCAGTCGCACCAACCCGGTCCCTTATGAGAGCTGAACCGCCCAACATGAAAATATTTGAGTAGTTCAGCCACCCGTACCTAAACCAACGGCAGTCTTTATGGGTTGTAGTTGCACAAGACTGAGGACTGTTTATACTGAACAAACAGTTGTGCATGGTGAGTGTGTGTATTAGTGTGTTTAAGAGAGAAATAGGGACAGAGAGGAAGAGGAAAGGTGGAAAGTGACAACAAATATAAAATAATCGTCTTAGTCTTTTTTCATTAACGATATTGCGTAATGATGTCGTCGCAGTTGGTGTTGTAGATAACGCTTTCTTCTTTTCGTCATCACGTCTTAAAAATCCAAAAAGATGGCATTGATAAACATACTGTCATAGTTTTGAAATGACGCAGAGCTACAGCACTGCAGGAAGGCCAAATAGAGGCCAGAAGAAGTGGAACTCACATCGAACATTTGTTATTGAACATTTTACACTTAAGGCATTGTCTCTCAGAAGGCATTCACCTTACACGTTTTATAAAGAATAACAAATAGAGCTACATAAAGCTGTTTTAACCCTGGATCCTTTCCCACATTCACACAGTAACTATCAGGGGGTGAGGTGGGTGTGTGGGCCTCATATACTTGCCCATGAATAATCTGTAATCATTTATTTTTTAACATATTTAAAGTGAGCTAACTACCATCCATCATAGATGAGGAAGAGCTAGGTGGGCTTTGACTAAATCCTGCAGTTTCAGCACTGGAAGACTAAATGCATTAAAAAACGATGTCAAGTGCTTTTCAGCTGTTGGACAGGGAACCATCATGGAGGTTATGGATTTTGCTTGATTTCAAGCACTTACACTACAGCGGGAAAAGTTGCAAGGGTAGGTAACTGAACATTTTCCTAAAGTTATAATCAAAACATATCTCTAGACAAAATATATCCGCCCATTTGGGAATCAGATTACCAGAGTGCCTCTGACGTTTGATAGCTTCCTTGTCAGACCATACAATAGTCTTCCATCTTCAAATGCTCTTCTAAATCCCTTTGGGCAACTCATATCCTGTAAGTACTGGCAGGTACATCCACTAAAAAACGTTTCTGTTCTGGTAAAGAATTTGGACACAGTCTGATCTAATAAAGACTTTATGATCATTGCTGAACTCTCTGAGGAAGCACTTATTAAACTCTGTACTCTGAAAGAAACAAGTCTCTCCTTCATACACCTACTGCACAGATGTATCCCATGTATGTTTTATATGAAATGATTCTTTGATTGTTGACTGTGTGCCGAAGCAGATGTCCAACTCTTTATGCAAACTCTGGCTGTGATCCCTAGCAGGTCGGAGGAGGCTCCCTCAACTGCTTGGAGTTCGGGGACAGTAAGTTCTCGTCCGTGGACGGCTGCACTGGGAAGAAATGCACTTGCCCCTGCCAGCATGGGAAGGAGACCCCAGATACACCAGACTTGGGGAAGATAACACGTCAGCTGAGTCCAACAAGCATCAGCACGGTGGTGGCCTTTTCTGTGCTGTCGCCTGAGGTCAAACAGGCCATCGAGAGCGTCAAGTACATCGCTGAGAACATGAGGAGTCGCAACAAGGCCAAAGAAGTGAGTCATTCTTTTCTATCACTGTACAGAGTGCTGCTGGAATGAGTCCCTAAACCTGGGAAGTAGTCCGCGTTTGTGCACTTCCAGTTTCCTGTTCTACAAGTCATTGGGTTATTTGGTTCATGACTGAAATAAGGACTTATGAGGCTGATTCCGTGCAGATGGGCAGAATAGAAGGAAGGACGCAGCAAAGAGCAAACTAATTAAAACCAAAAACAAAGAAAACTGAATCATTTTGAACAATGACGCATTTTACTCAAGTTTGGTGACTTCAGACTGGAGTAAAAATCAAAACAGGCTCACTAATAATGCCAATTTAAATATTGACTATGTCAGATAGCGCTCAGCTCTTCACAAAACGACTGAGGGCATCTTGGCAAAGATGGTGGTTCTCAGGAGACCATTAGACTGGGAAAGAAAAGCTCCCTAAAAAACAGGGCATAGCACTGAAAATACCGTTGTCTGTTTGGGCACAATGCAGTTCCAATTGATGACATTTATCTCATCGTAATATTGGATTACAATGCAGTGGCTGTGTCCTATCAATGCCATTGTTTTTATTTAAAATGCTTCAACAACATGACATTTGTATCAGACACAAGTACTGGCACAAACAAAAAATAGGACTCAAGAGCACAAAAAAAGAGAGAAAATATGCACACATTTTTTAAGTTAATCTTCTTAATAAACAAGTCGATTTTAGAAAGGATAATACGAGATATGTAATATTAAAATATAGTTGTTTTACCAGGGGAGCAAAAGTTGTGAAAGACATTCAGAGTCATGCTTTAACAATACCCTGCAGGCAACCTTTGTTTGTTAGGTATTAGTAACTCATACACGCTGACAAAGGGGAATGAAACAGGAAAAAAACGTTCATGAAAGTCCAAAGCATGCACTGCAGGGCTTTTCTCGAATCCCGAAGGTCAGTAGTCATGAATATGAAAAACATCTCAACAACACTCTGTGAACTCCTTAACTGCAGAGTCACGATCAGGGTCATCACTGCTGGTAAAAAATACAATGACAGAATCGTCTTCTAACTTAAGGATATGACACCTCTCCTGTTGGCTTTTTGCACAAATTAGTGTACAAGACAAATAAAATGCAAGAGGACGCCCCTCTGATTAATCTGATTAAACGGCATTGCCCCCAGCAAACATTTCAGGCCAGGTTCAATGTTGAGAATGCTCTCTAACATTAATGGTAAAATGTGTTCCTGATAAAAGAAAATCAAATAAACCATGTTAATAATGGGGATAATTAATCCATTAAACTGTAAATATCAGCATTGAAAAGGAGATGTTTATAACTGTCTATACGTCTATACGTCCATTTACTATTTGTTGTAATTGGTTTCATTATTTATGATGGCACTAAAGATCAAAGACCCAACCACGAGCCTGCAAAACCTTAAAGGGGAATCCTGGTTTGATGCAACATAGCTCTTGGACCATGACGATAATAACTAATATTGCATCAGGCAATACAGTAATAAGATTTCAACAAAAACAGATACATTGCCTTTTTCATGGCAGACATGTTGACTGGTTGTAAAAGGAAAAGACCAGGTGTAATTAATAACACAAATAATTGCTCTCATCCAATAAATCCCAGTGATCCAGCATGCATATCAGGCAGAAGACATGTTGACAGAGGTGTTAATGACAGCATTGAGTGTGTCGCAGTAAAATAAATGGCAGTGTGACAGAGAGCCAGCAGGCACAATAACATGACTCTGATACTGAAACCACTAAATGGATTTTAGCTATCCCTAATTTGATTATTCACACCTTTCATGTCATAATATCTGCTGTAATATGGGTCTATCAGGCAGATGTTAGACGAAGCCTCACGATAGCCAAACATGTCTTTAGACAAAACATACATCACATTTTACAAGACATTTTCCTATAGATTATTATTGAAATCAGTTTTAAAGTTACGAGAGTCTGGTTAAACTATTGTCTTGTTTACAACCTGTCTTATCTATGAACAAGAGAATAGACCATTCCCACATACAAAATAAATCTACTGTCATAGTTTAAAGGTGGGGTAGGTAAGTTTGAGAAACCGGCTCGAGATACACTTTTTGTTATATTCCATGGAATGCTCTTAACATCCCGATAAAAATACACTGATAGATGCTACTCCACTTATTCAGCCCTTAAACAAATGACAGCCAACTGGTATACGGAGAAAGTTAACACTAGGGTGACATGTGACTGGATTTTAACATGCATTAACTGTTATAGATCTTGATTTTCATTTGTGAAACCTAAATGCTAAGTATTAAAATACAGCACCATTTCATTTACGAGGGGTTGTCTTTCATGATGCTGGCTACAAATGGTGTATTACAATGGGAGCATGTGTAACTGTAAAGGTCTAAACTGTGGCGTGCAGCAAGGTAGATGTCTTGGACCACTACTGTTATCTATCTTTACAAATGATTTGCCATATGGTTTACATGAAGAAATTATACCACCATATGCACATGCTTCTACACTGTATTGGCAGCCAATACTAATGGACAAGAGATACTACTAAGTTAGTTGGTACATAACATCAGATCCAAATGCACTTTTCTGGGATCTAGTCATAAACGTATCTATGCCTATTCTGTGTCTCTAGTTTGCCAGGTAACGTATACAAAAGGAGGGTATGGTTAAATAACTGTGGGATAATAGGGGCAAATGGTCCAAGGTCAAATTTGAACTCCGGTCCCCAACATGAAGACCAAGTGTACATGGGCCTCCAGCTCTACCCACTGACGAAGCCCTATTCTTGAAGTGTATCGAATTTAAAGTAGAAAATGTGCTTATTATGCAGTCTCATTGTAAATACAACTTGACAATTGTGAGCTTTACCATTACCATAGGACATACAGTTGTTGTGAGTTGTTGTGTAAACGTTTTTGATTAACACAGGAAATAAATATCCAAGTGTTCCTATACTTTATATAAACCTACAGCTGCAAAGCAAACTCAGAAAGTGTGTTGATGAATAATGCATTTCTGCAAAAGAGAGCTGTAATGTCATTCTGTGCGGATCCTAACCTGCTCCATAAGTTCACAGTAGTCTAAGTTGGAACCAAATCATTTTAGATTTGAGAGCTCTGCCTCCTCTCTTTCCCTCTATTATAAATACAGTGGGTGAAATCTCCCAATGGGGGGAAGCAGCCCTTTGATATGCACAACTTGTGGCTCGATCAGCTTTGTCAAAACGCCTGTCGTTTCTTCTGACACTGTGGTTTGAATGTGATCATCACAGAAATGCCCTGCTGTGTAAATAATGTATCAGATTTCTGTTCCTTCACAAGAAATCTTTAACTCTGATTTGTCTTTTCTTCTTTTCCCTTCTATCAACTGTTTCTTGTTATCCTCACCTCATCCCATCGACTTCCACCAACCTCCTACTCTGAGAGTTTGAATCAAGTGTTTCCTCGCACCTCTACTGTCTTGCTTTTTTAAAAACCCTCTCCTCACATTTCATCTTTCATTTGTCACCGCCGACACTTTTCTCATGTCTTCTCTCATCCGCTGTTTTGTCCCCTCACCTGCTCACAGGTGGAGGATGACTGGAAGTACGTCGCCATGGTGATCGATAGGATCTTCCTTTGGGTGTTTGTGACCGTATGTGTCCTGGGAACTGTGGGCCTCTTCCTCCAGCCGCTTTGTGGCTTCGTTTCATAACTTCTAAACTAACAGGGTTCACTGTCGCCCTGTGTCGAACAATCCTGAACTATTGACGAACTTTTAGTTCTCAGTTGACCAATCAGAAGACAGAGTCCTAAAGCACACATTGGTGTGCAAGTTTTGCTTCTTGCCTTTTGCAAAAATATCGAAACAGTGACGTTGGGTTTACAGTTTTGGCACTGGCTGGTAAAGTGCTTAACAAAAACAAAGGTTCTAATACCTAATTTTTATATATTTTAAGGCTGCTTTACCTTAACAATCATTATCATTAACCTTTAGAATACCTTATAAAGCCTTTGGATGAACTTCAAAGAAATCAAGGGGGTAATGCGTTCTACAAAGTGTGCTCTTTTAACAAAGTTGACCATTTTTAACAAGAAAATAAAACATTTAAAAAATATATCTAGTTCATTGATCACAGCTTTTAAATGTATCTCTGTAATCTGTAATGTTTTGCTAGGTTTGTCTGAATGTGTAACAACATGTTGTAGAGCCCAGAGATTATTAAACAGCAACAATAGGCAGTGACTGTGATTTGGTTCTTGTTAGCAATGTGTAGCATCACGCTATCATCACACAGAAATGGTTTCTATTGCATAGAAAAAAGTGGTAATTTACTTTTGATTCATTATTTACTGCGTTTAAGCCTTGTAGTGTTGATTAAGCCAGCCAGGACTCCTGAAAATGACGTTGTCACTTACATTTTAAGGGGTACATATTTTGTCCCAGATTACTTTTGTTTTGGTATCACAGATACAATACTAATGAGTGAATGGACGGAGGACAGGGTGGATTGGTGGGTAATGTTCAGAAAGGTGTCCGAGTCCCGTGTCGTTGACATTTGAGGTCAAAAGTCAACGACACGGGAAGCCGAACTGGAAACTTTCTACATCCAGTTGACGGGACACAAACTCTTCAACACGGCTTCTTTCCCCCGCTGAGCTGACGGATGACTGTCATGCCCACTCCCCAGTCTGATCCATCAAACTGCTCACTGTCAGAGCCAATCGCATTCGCTGCCACCTTTGTGTCATTCACAATTAGAGCTCCGATTCCTGGTGCGCTTGGCAGCAGTTTTGACAAGTAAGGGGAGGCTGTTTTTTTCTCCTACTGATTAGAAAACCATGTGTTCATAAATGTTCTTTCTGATTGATGTTCCACACGTTAATTGGTTGGCCTGGTAAATATTGGATTAAATGCTACTTGATTAGCTGTCCCTGAAATAGCATTTCATCTATTAATTCACAAGAAGATTCTATCAACCAATATTATGGCTATTAATTTAAGCTCTCTTTTTCTCTTGTCACTTTTGGATTACGTTTACCATTACAAACCAATGCAAGAAACATGCATGACAGAAATTTAGATTGCTTTGACCACAAGAATATTATCGTTAGATTACAGCACTATAAATGTTCTGCTTCATTTCCTGAATTTCATTTATCCCCATTTGTATTGTTATATGATTAAGAAATGCACACCTCATGCTGAAGGGAGCAAACAGGTTTGTACAAGTGATACCTTTCTTTTGTCTTTGAAATAAAATCAATATTTGTTCAAATAAAGTTACAGTTTTACTGGCAGCAGTTAAATAAACTCAACTTGTGCATTTAAACAAACACTTTCATGTTCATGGGAGACATGGTTGTGCACATACATAAACACAGGACGTTTGCCATGATATTTATTTTGCCATTATGCACAAAACAGCCACAGTTGCGTCGTCAAATTAAAACCTGAACATGTTAGTGGTATTCAGACATCATTTCATTGTTGAGATAAAATGCATCGTTTTGCATGACATTCCCACATAACCACATTTATCTCTCAGAGGTTCGTTCTCCCAGCTGTTGGTTACATGTTGAGTTTGTAATGAGTAAGTGATTAACTGCAGTATCTCCAAGCTCCATGTCCTTATCTATTAATAACACATATGCACCCATTTTGCAATAAAAACAGAACACTTGGATAAAGCTATTGACATATTTTGTCTACTTTTGGTACAATACTTTTTCGACATTTAAATCCTCTTGTACAAAAAATCAAGGTCTATAAAGAGATGATTCCACATTTCTTCAGAAGAACTTGACTGAGAGAGTTGGTTTTCTTACTGCTTTGGTCAATGATGGACGTGTGAATCAAATAAATGTGAGTGTATTTTCAACTTAAAGTGAGAACCTCAAAATTCAATCAAATCCTTGCCGACGTGTTATGCTCATTGTGTGCTATTGTAAAGTAAATGATATACGGTGTGTCTGTAACCACTTCCTCTGTTCACTCATTTACTACTAGCAAATTAACACAATAATGGTTCGGAGCTGCTCAACAGTCATTTTAAAATGTTACCATTTTGGGACTGGCTAAAAGGAAAAAAAACATGCAATTATCTTTTTTCACTTGCAAGGTAAGGAGAGCAACTATATAGTTTAGACATTTGGCACAATTAACACTAAATAAAATGGTTAATTATAGTGATTACAGATGCAGATTGACACACTTTAAATTCAATTATCACTTCAGAGAAAGCACTCCAGCGCCTGTCCATGAGGCTCCAGAACATGTCAAACCCAGTATTAACCAAACACAAATTCATTCGGACTCCTCATGTTCTTCCAGCTGTTCTTTCTGGGCATCTCTTTGGAGGACGTTATAGACCTCTTTCTCTGCCTTGAGACCAGTTCATCCATCTTTTTGTGATTCTAAGGGTAATAATCCAACACATCCATCAGCTCCTGGATCAGCGCCAGCTCTTCTTTCAGCATGAGACCTTTTTCTTTGTCTAAAGTTCTGGATCATGGGTATTTTTGCTCGTGCACATTACTTCCAGGTCTGCTCTTTCTCAAAATCATTGTTGAGGAACTCTAACTTTGGATTGTTTCTCTTTGGTCTCTGTGTCCAGCCTGGTAGAGTAATCTTCTCCTCCTGGCAGTCAATGTACCGCTCTTCATCCTGGAGGTGAGTCTTTAACACCTCGACCTGGGTATTTAGAGCCTTGTTTTATGTCCCGCTGTCCTTCAGCTGCCTGGCCCAGGTTTTGAAGCCTAAAGATAACCTGTTCAGCTTTAAAGTCATGGTTCAGTTGTTGTTTGTCTCTGATCCAAGTTTGTGGTCCCTGTTCTAATTTCAAAGTGGTCAAACTGTACGTTATTAATACTCGCATTACTAATTCAGTGTAATAAATTGATGGTGAATTCATTCTATTAGATGTGCCAATGTTCATTCATGATTATACTAATGGCAACCCTGTGTTAACAACAATAAATCAACCTTGAACCTACTTGTAGCTCCAATAACATAACAAAAAAGTAAAAAGCGAACACACACATTGAAAACCCATCCTCCAACCCGACCATCCTCCTTGAATTCCTCCATTGAAGACATAAATCTCTAATGCAAAATAGCTGGGTATGAATCGTTATTCATGCGAGACATGACGGCACGTGCAAACGCACAGACTTTGGAGGAGATCAGAGAGCCGTTTGACTCACTGGATAATCTCTTCTATGGTATGTTATGGTGCCATCAGAGCATGAAGCACACGGCTGTAGCCCAGAGGCTGAGAGGCCTCAGTGAGGAACAGTGCCAGGGAGCAGGGACAGCTAGCAGGGACATGAAGGCTGGTCTAGAAGAGGACACTCTGTACATGCCGTGTGGGACTAAATGCCACATTACACAACTAATTGTTGCCCAGTGGATATAGAGCTAATAAAACGTCCACATTTAAATGCTATCCCTGTTTTTATATTCTTCACCAAGAAATATTTTAGGTATTTATTTGATATTGGCTGAACAGTGGTAACAGTAATATTGTCTCAATTTTGATAACAGTGTAGAACAAGACTGGTGAAGCAGTGTTTTCAGGACTTAGTGTTGCCCTGCTGTCTGTAATTATTAGTAAGTGAGTGGGTTTATTTGTTTCTCCGGTGTTCGGTGTAAATGTGTATGATGGATTAAGAACTGTCAGAGTGTCTCCACTACTGTTTTGCAATGCTTTTACAATAACAAACGAAACAACAGAGCAGCCTCTCTAAAATACGCATAATGAACAAATATTCTGCATGCTAAATGTGTCTGATGACTCATAGAGTCACAAGGGAGAGGAATGACTTCATATGAGGTGATAAAGGCACAAAGCGCAATATCCTGAACCGCCCCCTGAGGCTTGCAATCATGCAAACATTGTGTGTGTGTGTGTGTGTGTGTGTGTGTGTGTGTGTGTGTGTGTGTGTGTGTGTGTGTGTGTGTGTGTGTGTGTGTGTGTGTATGTGTATGTGTATGTGTGTGTGTGTGTGTGTGTGTGTGTGTGTGTGTGTATGTGTATGTGTGTGTGTGTGTGTGTGTGTGTGTGTGTGTGTGTGTGTATGTGTATGTGTATGTGTGTGTGTGTGTGTGTGTGTGTGTGTGTGTGTGTGTGTGTGTGTGTGTGTGTGTGTGTGTGTGAGAGAGAGGGACATTCAATGATTTGTTGTTCCTTCAATTGTCTTACTTATGCTTTGACAACACATTCTGTTTGATTTGTCATTGCAATCAAACTAATTGAAATTACATTTAAGAAAGAGGGGGGGGTTGTAAGACAACATTTGAATAAAGGGAAGCAGAAAACACTATGTATGTACTATGTAAAAATACAGGAATAAAAACAACATGAGCAGGACATTTCATTTGATTTATATTATGTAAATGCACACTAGGTTCGGTGAAGCCTGTTCTGAATGTGTTGTATAAGTCTCACAAACCTGTATTAACCATAATTCTAATATTTAAAAAATGTATAATGCTCAATTTCAGCTTCATATATGTATGTTGTGCTTCTACTGTGACATGTTTACATGGTTTAATGTTCAAAAAGGTCTTTATTTTTCTTATACTGCCATTTACATGCACACAAACTTATATAACACACTACAGGAAAGGAAAACCCCAAAAAGCATAATTAGGGCCTCTTTTAAAATAGAGCTGAGTTACTCTACTGAGAAATATACATATTAGCTTTTCGTCCAAAAACCAACAATAAATTAAGTGAAAATAAAAACTATTTCAAATGATATGACGTTGATGACGTTCTTGGGTTCTGACAGCTGATGGAAAATAACTAAATATACTCTGATATAAATAAGTCATTTACTTTGTTTACAATTGTGAAGTCACACCCTGAACATGAAACAGAATGTGTGTATATGGCAACCCAACCCCCCAGCCCCGCCACACACACCGAATACGATGACTTACTCTATTACTACAGTTAAATCCAGAAGAAGCTTCGAGAGGTGAACAACATAAATGGAGCAGCGTACAACAGCAGAGTGCCATGTTCAAAAGAAGGCTCTTAGTAAGGGAGATCAAATTAAATTGGGATGTCAAACAGATCTTGAATATCATTGTAAGGGGTGATTCATGTTCTATTTTCCATAAGATTTGCAAAACTGAACGAAGCTCAATCCTAATAGGAAATATTATCATATGTAATACGAATTTACATCTGAGTCCCTTTTTGAAAATTGCATATTCAATCATGTCACATGACTCTATGAAAAGCCAAGTTGGTTCAGTGTGACTGGTTTAATATTTATATACAGTACTTAATTAGTTT